TTCAATCTCTCTTTTTCTATTCTCTCTTGAACCTACTCTAATCAGGGTTTCGCCTTCATCATCCCAACAAGGTCATCAATCACCTCCACAGTATTAATTTCAATGGTTATTTCACTGTTCCCATCTTACTTAGCAGCATTTGACCCAGCTGTTCATTCTTCTCTCCTTTTATTTTTAATTTGGATTGCAAGACTCCTCAGTTATCTGGTTTTCCGACATTTTCTGGTCACTTCCTCTGAGTCTCTTTTGACAGTTCATGCCCAGCCTCTCGCAGCTGAAGTGTCACAGAGCTCATCCTCAGACCTCACTGCTTTTCATCTATACTCATAGCCTAGGTGAAGTCATCCAACGCTGTGATATAAATTCCATCTATATGACTTCCAAATATACATACTTCTTTGACTGGACCTCTCCTCTGAACCCTAGACCCATATATACCTGCCTATTTGACATCTCCAACTCAAACTTATCATGTCCAAAACTGAGCTCTTGATATGAACCTCCACCACCACCATTACCACCCCACCCTCACCCTGTCCAGTAAAACTACTCCTTTCCCATTTTTGTTAAAGGCAACTCTATTCTTCCAATTGCTCAGGATGAAAAACTTCAAAATATATCCAGAATCCAATCATTTGTCACCTCTTTCATTGTCACCATCCTGGTACAAACCACCATTCTCTCTCTACTGAATTGCTTATTTGTACATATGCTCTGTGCTACTGCTGGCAGGGATACAATATGAATCAGATATGGACCCAAATCTAATAACAGAGATAAAACATGTATATGACTATAATACAAGTACGAAATTGAATTTGCCTCAAAAGAGAAGCACATAAGATGAAATGAAAATTATGGTAAAGATTACTTTTGGCCAGAGTAGTGAGCAGAGAAATCATGAAGGTGATAAGTGAGTTATACCTTGAGTGACAGGTTGATTTTGAAAGAAGTATGAGCATGGTGTAAGCATGGTGTGTGTACGTGTGCACGTCTGGTGCAGATGCAGACAAGGGTAGGCAGGGGTTTTGGGGCAGAACAGGAAATATATTCTGAACAAAGAACACTGTAAACAATGAAGATAGAAAAGCATGTGGTATGTACAAAGAATTCCCAATGATTCATTTAGATACATGAAGGAAAACAAAGTTAAGCTTTGAAAAAATAAAGTTCTTTTATGCTAGGCTGAAACTTTTGAATTTATTATATAAGCAAAAGAGTACCTTTGAATGTTTCTGAGCAGAAGAGTAAAGTGATCAAAACTATGCTTCAGAATGATTTAGCTACAGATAGAACAAATTAGAAATAAGAAGACCATTAGTTAAGATGCTATGGGAATAGCCCAGGTGAAAAGTAATCAAGGCCTAAGCTAGTGTGGCAAATGCAGAAATAAAACAAATGCAAGATATAGCGGATATAGAACTGACGGAACCCAGTTAAATGATAATAATGCCACTTAAAATTTAACCTTCAAAGAAATTCTACCTACATTTTCTAATGCAATCCTTATAAAATGTGAGATATTTAACAGCCATATTTTACAAGTGAAAAAACTTAAAGAGGTAAATTTACATGTCCAGGTTCATCCAGTAATTCACAGGCTGTGTGTTCTTGGGCAAGTTTTTAAATCTTTTCTTCCTTATCTGTAAACTGAAGTTATAGTACCTGCTTCACTGCTTTAGGGCGATGATTAAATTAGTATCTACTTCTAAAGCACGATAAGGAGTTAATTCTAGACATGTTCAATTTCAGACAGCAGAGTGATAACCTGGTGGAGCTGTTTGGCAGCAGTTGAAAATGTAGGAGTAAACTGAATTTGAGGGAACAAAAATGAGAGCTGAAGATTCAGATTTGAGAATTTTTCTATGAATGTGGTAATAAATTAATTGCGTTCCAAAATAATATCCTAAAGATATCAAGAGATGGAAATAGGGCCAAGGAGAGAAAATGGAGACAGAATGGGAGAGTTGGAAAAGAGGTATTTAGACTAATAACAACTGAACCAGTCAAGTTCAGCATTAAGGAAATCTTAAGGAGGGGATAATTAATATTGTCAAATGCTGCAGAGAGGTAGGAAAGTAAGAAAAGCCATTGACTTTCAAAATTTTTAGGTTACTCCTTATTGACCTTTGAGTAGCTTCTGTACACCAATGGAGAAAGCAGACTGCAAGGGTTAAAGAGTGAACACATAAGGAAGTAGAATACAGAAACTGGGCAGAGATATGGGATAAGTGGGTCAAAGAAAGAATCAGTGGTTATCTTTACCACAGTGGGAGACTTGTTCAATATTGTTAAAATTAACAGGAAGGATCCAATACAGGAAAAATTGGAGTCAGAAAGTGGAAAATTGATAAATACATGTTTCATGAGATCCTTTCTAAGATCAGAATTAAATCCTAAAAGGAGGAAGACAAGAAATAACTTATTAGGTCAAACAAACAGGCTGTAAACTTTAGTGTCTGTAAAGCTTTTGTTTTAATTAGATAACATGGCTGCCTCAAAAAGTAAAGGCTATACTACTCCTACTCAATTCTTTTTTTTAATAATTAATTTGCCATGAATTTGTCATTACTTAAAGAAATTCCCAAGGGAATTCTTCTAACACTTTTTCATCTACTATGAGAGTTGTATCACTTTTTGTTTTCAATTTACATGAAACGACTTAATTTTACTTTGAGATTTCCATACCCGAAAATGAAAACAAAAACCAGACAAGTAGTAATCTTACATATTCCTTCAATCAGTCTGTCAGTCAAGAAATATTTATTGAGTGCCTTCTTCATTCTAGGCAATAAAGAGAAATGTAACAGTGAATAAACAAAAGCCTCTGCCCTTACGGCGTACCATTCCTTGGGTGAAGACAGATTAACACACAAGTACATAATACATCAGGCAGGGACAAGTTTTATGGAGAAAAGTAAAACAAGGTTGGAGGACTGTAAGTGCTGGGAGGAGGAAGCATTATTATTTTATGTAGGGTGGTCAGAGGACTCTTTGATAAAGTGACAACTGAAGGAAATCAGTAAGCCATAGATTATCTGGGGGCACAATATTACAAACAGAGAAAACAGCAAATGCACTGGTCCTGGTATGGGACTATAGTGTGTCTGATATGAGGAACACTATGGAGAATAATTAGCCAAGTGGAAGAGTTCAAGATCAGATTCTGCGGGGCCTTGTAAGGATGTGAAGTTTTACTCTGAGTGAAATGGGAAAAACTAGATCAGAATTTTAGACAGAAGACCCACACTGACTAATATCATGTTGATCGTGCTGGCAGAACTGACAGAACTTGCTGATGTAGTGGGGTATAACAGAGAAGTCAAGGGTAACGCCAAGGATTTTTACCTGAATAACTGGAAGAGTTACTCAAGGATGGAGAGACTTTGTCTCACGTACTTTGGACATGTTATTAGGAGGGGCCAGTCCCTGGAGAGAGACATTATCCTTGGTAGAGGGTCAGCGAAAAAGAGGAAGACCCTCAGTGAGATGGACTGACACAGTGGCTGCAACGATTGTGGGGATGGTGCAGGACCGAGCAGTGTTTTGTTCTGTTGTACACAGGGTCACTATGAGTCTGAAGCGACTCAACAGCACTTAACAACAACTGGAAGGGTGGAATTTGCCATTTACTGAGTTTGAAAAAACTGTACAGTAGGTTCGAGAAGAAATAAGTTCAGTGTTGGATATGAGTTTTGAGATGCCAATTAACTTCTAAGTGCAGATGTCAGTTTGATTTTGTTGTTTTGTTTTTGGTAAAAGGATTTTCTTGGGAGAAGTCTTGGCTAGGGATATAAACTTGGGAATCATCAGTACATAGGTGATTTTTAAAGGCATAAAACAATAACAAAGAGAATATGTTAAAGGACTGAACCCAAAGATACTCCAATATTTTAGATGTGAGAGAGATGAAGAGGAACCAGCAAGTATTTTGAAAAGGAGTAAAGGTAGTTACAAAATAAGGGGAGAACTAAGGAAGAGTGGTTGGTGTCCCAGAAACCAGACGAAGTGTTTCAAAACGCTAAGTAGTGATAAACTCAATCCAAGCTGCTGAGGGTCAGTTAAGAATAGAATTGAGAAATGGCCAATGCATTTGACTGGACGGTTATTGCTGCCCTTCGCAAAAGTTGTTTTGGTGGAGTGGTAAGATGCACAAAAGCTGGAATAGCATACATATTCAAGAGAGAATAGAAGGAAAGAAAACTTCAAGAAGTTCTGAAGAAAGAAGAGCTGAGCTGGGAGGGTATCGGGAAGGAGATAAGATGCTCAAGATTTGAGAAGAGAGAACATAAATGATCTGCAAGTATGGAAGAGTGAATGAACTAGGCAACTATGGTGGAATTGCCGGGCAGTAAGAAGGGTACATTTTAAGTTATAAGTGTTACAAATCCGCATTGCTGTTGCAAGCACAACAAAAGTTGTAAACAGGATTAAGTTTCAGTGCAGGATGATATAAGAAGCAAGAAAAAGAAAATCGACTAAAGAGCATAGTTTAATATTTGGTCCAGAGGCTCAGAGAAACTGATAGAACTGGGCATCTGTGCATAGCATCAAGGCACCAAGCTTGACAGACTGCAGACCGAAACAAAAATAAAAGTTCTGAGAGAAAGGATGGTTCTGAACAAATCAGGTCTTTTCTCATAGAGCAAGAACAGCTATAAATCCGTTGCCGACGAGTCGATTTGGACTCATAGCGACCCTACAGGACAGAGAAGAGCTGCCCAATAGAGTTTCCAAGTAGCGGCTGGTGGACTCCAACTGCCGATCTTTCGGTTAGCAGCCAAGCTCTTAACGAACTGAGTCACCAGGGCTCCAAGAACAGCTATAACCCATTGCCGTCAAGTCGATTCCGACTCATAGCAATCCTGAAGGACATAGTAGAACTGCCCCAAAGAAAAGCCACAGGCATACGATAAAGGCTATACTGAGCTGAGGAAGGAACCATTGCCGGTTGGAGCTTCGAGGATAACCCCTTTCCAAATCCAGGGGCCGAAACTTACAACCCGACGCTTGGCGGCTGTTTGCGGCTGCCTGGTGGAGATATGTGCATGGTGGCGACTGACGACCAATTCCTTCCCTGGCTGCTTGTGGGGACCCTGTACCCCAAAAGTCGGCGTTAGCGGCTCGGGCAGTGCAACTGGAATGTTTGTCGGGCGTCATGGAGACGGTGGAGGCCTGGCTCAACAAGCGGCCGCGCGGTTGGCTGGCGATAAGATGCCGAGGAGGAGGGCAGAGGCGGAGGGGAGGGCCGAGGGTTGGTGGAGGAGGAGGAAGCTGCGGACGACGACTAGAAGAAGGAGGCGGGCGGCCCCGGCCCCAGGCCCCTCCCAGGCTTTGAGTCTCCCCGACTGCAGGCGGATGGATGGGGCTTCTTCAGGCGGTGGCGGCAGCAGCGAGGGTGGCGGCGACAGCGGCGGCAGCGGCTGTAAGTGCAGCCTCCACAAACTATCTCTCCCCTCCTAGTCCTGTTTGGGATGAGGGGCTCCAGAGGTGTCCTTGGTCCCCTTTCTCTCTTTCCCCTCCCCCACGGCAGAGTGCCGCCCGGAAGACCCTTAACTTCCGGGGAGGGGCTGTGAGAGAACGCGCCTAGCTTGCCTCCCCTCCCGGAGCAGCGCCGGCCGCCGATGGCGCATGCGCAGCTCCCCATCGCCACCCGCCCCCTCCCAGCGTTGGTTCTTCGCTTTGGCGACGGCGGCGCGGATCTTCTCCGGCGTTCGCGGTGCGCTGGGAATCCGTTGCGGCGTGAGTTCGCCTCGCCCCGTTCGCTTTCACCCCTTTCTCATTTCGGTCGCTGATCCCGGTAGGGGTGGGGCTAGGCTAACCACCCCTGTGTGGCTCCGCATGTTTTTCCCCATATCTCCCACAGTTCTTGTCTGAAAGCGGGGGAGGCTCTCGCTGGCACCGCAGCCTCTGTGGTGAGCAGGGTCCTGGGCGAACGTACCCTTTTCGGAGGGAGTGAGGGAGGGAAGACAGACTCCAAGAGGGCATTATTATGAGGGAACGAGGTCCTCCCAGCCCGTGGAAGGATCCCTTGTGACAGATGCCCCTTTCTATTCCACCCCTTTGGATGGCCTTGGTGTTGCAGCTTGTAATGGAAAGATGCCTGGCCTGGAGCCTATCTCTGGTTTTCGCTTGCTGTGTGACCTTGGGCGAGTCACTACCCCTCTCTGGGCCACAGTTTTCCTTAAAGGGTCCTCCAACGCTGAAACTCTTAATTTTGCGCAAAAGCTAAAGAAATTACAAGACCAGCCGGGTACTGAGGCATCTTAGCCTAGATGACCAGGACTGAACCCTTCTTTCTTCAGTCATGGGTGGAATAAGGCGACCTATTTATTGGATCAAGAAGCCCTGGTGGCGCAGTGGTGAGGAGCCCGGCTGCTAACTGAAAGGTCCGTGGTTAGAACCCACCAGCCGCTCGGCAGGAGAAAGATGTGGCAGAGCCCTGGAAACCCTATGGGGCAGTTGTACTCTGCCAGTAGGGTCGCTCTGAGTCGGAATCCACTCAACGGCTGTGGGTTTTATTTATTTGATCGCTTTTATTCCTTTACCATTGGTTACAAATACATAACTCCAGTCTTATTATTTTTCTAAAATAATCTTGGGCTTCTTGCCCTAATTGCCGGCCATCTTTTTATACGTAAAACAGGGTGAATGAGCTTGTGGTCCCTGTCTAGTTGCTACTCAGGCTCTCTTTCCTTTGATCCAGATGGTGTGGTGGCTCGATTCTCCCAGTGCCTGGCTGAGTTTCGGACGTGGTTAAGAACCAACTGGTTGAGGTTCAATGCAGACAAGACGGATGTGATGCTGGTAGGCAGGGGCACACTTGGAGATTAAGGGAGGGAAAATCCAAACTCCCTCAAGTAATATAAATACTATATTACTCTTCTTGTATGTTCCAGTGTTTGAGAACTGCTGATGGGCCAATAATTTCCAGAATTTGGGTGAGATAAAAATAACACGTCAACAATGTAAGAAATATAAGAATATTAGTTTGTAGTAATCTGATAAAATGAGGCCACTGCATAAAACTCTTCATGCAAAACTATTATGAAAAGAAAAACCAACCGAAACTGTACCTAGAAGAACCAAAAGGCTATATGAGTGTTTTAGGGTGCCATTAGTAATAAAAATCAAACAAAAAGATGGTGTGATTGTTGCATAGATGTGGAGCTTCCAAATGTAATGTGCTTTGCAGACTGCATTCTGCCTACTAAATTAAAAGTAAACTCAATTTCTCTAAAATGTCATTTTAAAAAGAGGTAAGTTTTTTAGTATGTATTTTCAACCAAATTAGTAGTCTTTTTTTTTTTTTTTTTTTACCTGCACATCATGAAGATACGATGTAAGCTGTCACTTTTAAATAAAAAATATTAGGAAATAATTTAAAAAAGAATCACAAAAGGGGCTTATGGACCCTCAAAATTGTTAGATATAGAATTTATTTTAGGGTTCTGAATGTGCTGAACTCATCTATTTCAATCGAATAGCCCCAGAATCTAAACTGTTAACAAGTGTTTTCTTGGTGCATTCTGAGAGATACTTTTTTGAGTTGCATAACACGTTTATATAGTGCAGGTATATATGATATTTGAATCTGGTGTTGGTACTAAATAAAGGTTATATTTCTTAGGTATATGTAAATTATTTATTGGTCAGGTTAAGTTACTGTTGAAGTGAAAATTGTGGCCTTAAAATGCTTTGTTAATAGCAAAATGATAACTCTGAGGGATTCTTCTCTGTGTGTGTGATAGCCTCTGTAAAACTCTTTAATACCTTTTAATGGAGTGTTCAGTAAATTGGTTAAAAATAATTGCCCAATATAATAGCAGTTTTGAGTAGCTTAATGTGGTAGAAATAATGCTAGTTTGCCTGAAAATAAGAAGTCCTTTAGGTGGGAATGGGAGCTAAAGAGGCATTTATTCAGGCTTTGTATAGCTATTTTTTGCTTTGGGACTTCTTAAATAAGCCACAAACCTCACATAAAATTGGCATTAACCACACTTTTTAAAATTTAACTTTAAACATTTTACTACACAATTCTAACAAAATACCATTTTGGATATCACATTAATAAGTAATATAAGCTGTAATAATTTTCAGTGGGTCATAGGTAATGGCGAATTTTCTCATGCCTTTTGCTCTGTCATGTCCTGTTTTCAGCTCTTCTGGTATCAATAGGTTTTAAGGAATTCTTTTTTTTTTTGTTAACCCAAGTTATAAATATTGACTGGTTGCATTTGAATACAAAGAAGACATCTGTTGAACTAATCCAAAGTGCTAAAGAACTAGGGGTAATGGATGGAAGTAACAAGGAGGTAAATTTTGATTTAACAAAAGGTAGAGTTTTCCAAACATTAGAGCTTTTTTGAAAGAAGTGACCTCTTCATGAGGTAGTGACTGCTGCTGTTTAAGCATAGGCTAAAAAGCCTTGTAGTGAGAAAGCATAACAAGGGGTTCCTACCACAACAGGTAGAGAATTAACTAAAGACCTCTAAAGTCCCATCCGATGTTAAGATTCTGTGACTAATCAGTAGTTAATTTTACACATTTGACATTGAAGGGGGTAAGCAACAGTTTTGAGAAAGACTTTGATTTCCTTAAGGTGGCTCCTGAAATTTTTAAAGATCGCACTATAATAAAATATACTGATTACTTACAGTTTTAGAGCTGTTTCTCTGTACCTTTAGAATATCCAAACCTAATCCCCCCCAAAAAAACCACACTGAACCCACATTTACCAAAAATGGGGAGAAAAGTGTAGAGGGAACTTTTCCCCAAATGATGATGCCATTTAAAATTAGGAAAATTGCAGCATAATATTAGTAAACTTAAAAAGTCATTAATCAGTAAGATACATGCCCATTCAAATGTGTCAGATCTCAATTTTCCTGACAATTTCAGAATTCATTCGTAGCTTAAGGGGCTATGATCTCAACTCTATCACAATTTTTTTAATGGTTTAACTGCAGCATCTAAGATAAATGGGCTTAAGCAAGCAAGTTATTCTTTTTCCTTGTATTTTGACAACACATTTACATTTTCCTTTTGTTATCCAGTTAAATTTCATATGTCAGGTTTTGTTTTTTTTAACAGAAAATTCTCCTTCATTCCCACGGTATAAAGCCTGAGTTTCTACCTCTCGGCCTCTTATTCTTTTTATCTTTTCCCACCTCAGGTCCCTGTGCATCCATTGTTCTTCCCTTCAGTTACTTCCATCAATTGTATTAATGTGAAAACTACTTGGAAGGGAACTGACATTTTAAAAAGTCATTATTTCAAGTCCAAAGGTCTAACATAATTCAAGTCAACAGGGTAACTCTCAGAAACTGTATACCGATACTAAAATATTTATTTCCCCAAGGAATCTTAAAAAACACTTTTATATAAATATTCTAAAAAATAAAATGAAAACCGTACAGTACAGTTAATGGTAAAAATTGTTTGTAGTTTGGGAACCCTAAAGTTTTCCTTTCTCTTCTTTCCCTTGCTTTTCTTTCAGTAGAAAATGTGCATCAGATGTTTATGTTTAATTGGTTTACAGACTGTCTGTGGACTCTTTTCCTGTCAAATTACCAGGTAATGTCTTTTCACTTAGCAGCTACTTCATATACCTGTAAATGCAGTTTATTCGTGCACAAATTATTATTGGACATAGTTTCAAGTTCATGTTGAATCTTTGGAAATAAACTGATAGAGTCTAGCATTTTAAGGGAATACACATAATTTAACAGCCTCACTGATGTTGCATTGTATTAACTTTAAGAAAATTGTATTATGTACAATATATTGTAGCACTGGCACCACATTGTTTGGAGGGAATGATTAATTCTCACGTTTAACTGGTTGATTTTGATAAGACATTTTTGAAACTGTATTAAGAGGAACTCTTGAACATTAAGGGGAACAAAAAGGTCTTTTGAAATAAGAACCTCTTAACTTTTGATTTAGTAAAATATGTTAGTGCACGTTTTAATACTACCTTTCCATTAGCCAGTATCTGCCTTAATAGTGGGAGTGAAACGTGTTTGCAATCATTGGCTCTGGCAATCA